ACATAGCTTGAAAGTAGTTCGGTGACAGTGCGAATGCCTGACACTGTAGGACAATCGGGGTTATTGGGCTTATGTATGTTAGGCAATAGGTAATACCTTCCTGGAACAGGGCTCAGTGGGACTAATGAGTACTTTTCTTTATCGGAAAGTTTGTCATCCAGTATTAAATGCTTGATTGTATCAGTAACGATGTCCTTGAATTCTTCGGTGGGGTTTTCATTGCGTCCCTAGCTCTCATGCGCATCATCATCGACCATTATATTTCTGCTGTCAAAGCGTTGCTAAACAGTGAACGACAGTTCCGCAAGGCTCGTATCTTGGATCCCTCTGAATCGCCTTTGCTGGTTAAATACGAACAGAGAAAACAATTAGAAATTGAACAGAAGAAAGCAAAAAAGTTTTTGCGTGACCACATTACCCTTCCAAAACCACTGACCAACGAAGATTCCCTTCCCGTCAAATCATCCTGTTCTGGACGAGACAAACTATCAGCTAGACCTAACGTAGTAAACCTTTCAAACGTGGTTTTATCTGACTCAGAAATGAGTGTGCTTGCTCGGGGCTTGAATTTCTGTCCAGCTACTGGCGGCTACAATGAATTTACCTTGATAAAAGACTTAGATGAATTCGCGCGCAGTATGAGGCTAAGCGAGTTCTTCCATAAACGTTCATCATTCAAGAGTAACATGTCTTCCCATCAACACTGGACGCCACCAACACTACGCGATAAATTCCTCGATATGTACATTTCTGCAGTTCAGCGCGACATCCTGCAGGCTTATGGGAACCGCATTTTATTCAAAGGAAACCTCACATTCAAAGAACGGAATGCAGTTAAATGTTTACAAGAACGCACAGATATTGTAATAAAACCCGCTGATAAAGGAGGCGCAATCGTGATAATGAACACAACGAACTACGTTTGTGAAGCTCAGAAACAGCTAGATAATGACACGTTTTACAAGCGACTCAATGAAAACCCCACCGAAGAATTTAAGGACATCGCTACTGATACAATCAAGCATTTAATACTGGATGAGAAACTTCCCGATAAAGCAAAGTACTCATTAGTCCCACTGAGCCCTGTTCCAGGAAGGTTTTACTTATTGCCTAAAATACATAAGCCCAATAACCCCGGTCGTCCTATAGTGTCAGGCATTGGCACTGTCACCGAACTACTTTCAAGCTATGTCGATGGCCTGATTAGTATACTACCTCCAACTTTTCCATCCTATCTGAAGGACACTTCTCAATTCCTCGCTGACATCATTGACTTGAATATACCTGCTGACTCATTTCTGGTAACATTAGATGTTGCGTCACTTTATACTAATATTCCCCACAAAGACGGCATTCGTGCAGTAGTGCATGCTTATAACGACTCATCATGTGACAAATCTGTTGATAGCTGTACATTTGCCACATTATTAAAACTCATCCTGAAGCTTAACAATTTTCAGTTGGACGGTGTTCACTACGTACAAGTTAGTGGCCCTTCAATGGGCACCAAAATCGGTCCAAATTACGCGAATATATTTATGGGCCAATTGGAAAATCATTTTCTTTCAACGTTCAAAGTACAGCCATACTACTACAAACGTTTTATAGACGACATTTTTTTATCTGGCATCACGGCGAAGCGCAACTAATGACTTTCATTGCAGACTTTAACAAGCTTCATCCATCCATTTCATTGTCACAATCGTACTCGAAGGCATCCATCTGTTTCCTGGATGTAACAGTATTCCTTTGCGGCGAAAAATTATCTACTAAAGTATACAGAAAACCCACCGACGCTCCCCGATACCTTCATTTCAAAAGCAGTCATGTAAAACATTGTAAGACGAGTATACCCTAGAGTCAAGCACTTCGTTTCAAAAGGCTGTGCTCTGAAAATTCAGACTGTTGAAAACTGTGATAAGCTTCGTGATGCCCTAACCTTACAACAGTACCCGCCTCAGATTATTATCGACAACGCGATCATGCGCGCCGATGCAATGGACCGACGAGCGCTTCTAAAATTAAATAAAGAAACTGCGCACCGGAAGCACATCAATTTAATTCTGACACATTCTCCGTCAATTCCAAATGCTAACGTGATTCTCAAAAAGCACTACAACATGCTAATGCAGAGCAATCGTCTCAAGACGTCTTCCCGGAGCCTCCACGAGAAGTTTACCGCCGATCGAGAAACCTACGAGACATACTTACGTCATCCAAACTATCAACGCCAGCCCATGTGGGGTGTCACCCATGCAACAAGGCACGCTGCAAGGTGTGCCCCCACATGACCACGTCGCGTATTGTTAAGAGCTCTGCGTCAAACTTCACTCTCTGAATAAAAGGCAATTCCGACTGCGACACGAATAATGCAATCTACTTGCTCCAATGCTCATTGTGTGACCTCCAATATATTGGTCAAACGGAGACAGCTTTCCGACTTCCTCTCCATTCTCACTGTTAGATTGCGAAATTCTTCTGCAATCACACGTTCGCTAACTCGTCAAAACAGCGTGTAGGTGTCTCAGGTGGACTCAGGCTGTAAGAGGGTGCGTACCACGTTCCACAGATGAGATGCCGAGGTAAATGGAGAAAGTGCATTAGGTACATATTGCCACTTTTTGGTTTAGTGCTTCTGTAGGTGGTTATGGATTGCAGAATACACTTTCTGCGCAATCTTCAAATCTTCTGAAATTTCCTCCCTGCGAATCTTTTTTTAGATCAGCATGGTATTACCTGACACCACTCAAACTC